TCAAGATAGCTTTTCTTAATCAGAATTAGCAGGAAAGGCCTAGCATCTTTCTTACTTATTAGGAGAATGGAAGATATAGCTCAGATTATATCTATGTACGTTTACATGGTTTGTTATTTCAGATCCTAAAAAGAGATGAAGCAAACAATGATATCTCAAATGAATTCCTTTTCCAGAAAGAATAGAATGCCACTGGGAATACTCATTAATCAAGTGGGATGCTAGCCCAAGCTTTGTCCTGGCAGAGTTTACAGATCCAAATGTCTACACAGCAGTCTCAAATATGGGAAGTACATGCAAGATATAATATGGGATGAACAGGGGAAATGGCAGTTGATGTGGATTTAGATCTGGTCCAAAAATCACTCAAATTCAATAGCATGGCAACAATAACAGATCCCAACTAAATTGCACTATCTACAACCTAAACTTCAATAAGATTGTACTTCATGTACTTCAATAAGATTGCTTTTATTGACATACTCTATCACAAAATAATCTTCAAAATGAGAGTAACATACAATGCCAATCATAGTAATGGTTACTAGTATTAATGCTGATCAGTCCTTTCCATAGTCCCCCAAATGAAGATCAAGCAAGACAACGAAAAGTCATATATGAGAAAATGAATGTGATTCTCATAAAGCACAACATATTCTTTTTACCAATCCTGGAAACAAAGCAATATGACCATGTTTAGGATAGCCCATCTCTTCTTCTTTCCAACAAAAGTAGCCCTATTAGTACAACCTGTTTCTCTTGTTTTGCTGTCTGCTTTGGTCAATATTTTCTTAAGCTAGGAAGGAAGCAAACACACACAGCTGGAAATGGGAAACTGGTTTTGGAAACCTGTTGACAATATAAAATAGAAGAGATATATTTGGAGAGCTAGGATCAATATTTTAAAAGTAATTTCTAGGTTTTAAGAAACTTTGGTTTGGATTCCAGTGCATAATAATAAGAATTTTAATAATATGAAAGATTCCACAGATTATGACCTAGTCATGATGCTCATAAAATTATAACTCCAGCAGCTACTCAAGGCAGTCTATACAAGTATAGACTCAGAATATCTGAGTCATATTATGCCTGCAATATATGTTCCTTTAATATTCCATCTGAGTTTCATCGTCTTTTAAAGGACATCAAAAGATCAACATATGAGAGGCAGATATAAAGTATGAGTGGGTTTTTTTTAATACCTGGTAAAAATAACAAAAGGTATTCATTGCATGAAGAAAGCCCATTTTGGTTATGTAGTCCAGCCACAATACTCAACAGGAAGATTAGCCTCTTAAACTTAAATACTGGTACATGACACTGCTGTGACATTAACCACTCACTTTCAGTGTAGAGTTTGTATATCACTAAGACAGGTTATATTTCATGACTGAACTACATTAAAAATAAGTTTTATTCCAAAATCATCTATGGGAAGCCAAACACTTACTTTTTATAAATTTGAGTTAAAAAGAGTTGACATTTTTTTCCCAAGTAGGTTTGATTATATCAATGGTTCTCAACCTGGGGTAATGTTCCTCCTTCCTTTCTTTCAGGGACATTTGGCAATGTTTAGCAGTAAGTTTTGATTATCAAAACTGATGGGGAGGAGTACTACTGGCTTCCACCAGATAGTGGCAGGGATGTCACTGAACACCAAAAATCACACAAGACAACCCCCTACAACAAAGAATTATCTATTCCCGAATAAAACTGAGATTGAGAAATCTTGTGTTAGATGAAAATTGTTAAACTTCAATATAAAACCTAATTGAGAAATACCATTGCTTCTAACTTAAATTTACATTATCTCAAGAAAAATAACTACCTTACTCTTCTTAAAGAACAATTTGTTGTATTTGCTTAGCACTTCATCAGTTACAAGATCTTTCATGTTTCATCTCGTTTGCTTCTCATTGCTCTGATTAAGTCATGTTTTTTTTCCTCATTATACTACCAAGGGTATTGTTGTGTAGGAAGAATCTAAGGTATTCAACTATGTCATACAGATTCAAATTCTGCATTATTTGTTATTCTATAACTGTGATACTCTTATTAACATTATATAGAAAGGGATTTCATAATAAATAAAAGCAAATCACTATGCATCTATGGGGGTGTGACTTCAGAAGACAGATGTCATATGCTCTAAGGATGGAGAAGACAGCTTAGAATGGGCCTTCTCGGAGGTAGGAAGCAAGTATGGAGATAAGGAACAGGGACATTAGTCAAGTCACGTGGAGGAGTTTAGACAGATCTCTAAGCTTAAAACAATTACTTCGTGTAACTATCATTCTCCCTATAAACAGCAGAAGACCCTTACGGAATCATAATATGAGTGCATTAAGTTCATTAGAAAAACAGAAACCATACTCATCACTTAAAACAAAGAATCAAATACAAGGAATCCATCGCTCCAGAAAAAACAGAAAAATTCAGGGATTAGCAACAGCACAAGTCATTACACTTTTAAAGAGGTGGGAGGGAGAAGGTAGTACTATCATATCCCAGGGCTGATTCTGGGGCAGGTCTGCCCAGCTGAAGATGGAGTCTAGAAAGAGACAGTTGCTGTAAGAGACAATGTCTAAGGAAGAAAGAGAGGGGAGAAAAGTACTACTTCTCCTTTTCCCCCCACCCTCCAGGTTATTGACAGTGCTTCCTAGAGGCCTAACACAGCAAGAAGCCAGAGACTGGAACTTGGGAAGCAGCCTACAGGAGCTGGCTGAGAAGTAGAGAAGAGCAAGGGATGGATATAAAGACAAACAGGCAGAGAACTATCACATCTCTTCCGAGCATTATGCCAATGGCACAACAACATAAACTAATTCAAGGCAGTAAGTGAGTATTCTAGACCCTAAATTCTGTCTTCCTTCAAATCTTCCTTCAAGGGGAACATGTTTTATGCCTACCCTGGACTAAAGAATAATAATAATAAAATAAAATAAAAATTGAACTTTAGTAGAAAGAATCTGACAAATGAAACACAGTAACATTTTGTATAAATATCCAGACCTTTTAAGGTTAAGTTATTACAACTGAGAGAAATAAAAAAGAAAGAAAATAGCTCTAATAGGTGATCAAAAAAGAAACTGGGGTTTTGGGCCTCCCCGGTGGCACAGCGGTTGAGCACTGGATTGCGAAGCTGCCCACAGCCTCTGCAGCACCGGTTTGATCCCCAGCCACTGGATGGGGGTCCCACATGGTGCACAGACCTCTCCTGCTGCCCGCTGCTCCCCTCAGCAGTGTACTTCCTCACTCTGCTTGTTCTACTCTCCGCTCTGGCTCTGGTAAATTCTCTCGCCCTCCCGCGCTTCTGACTACCCAGTGCTTGTATAAATAAATAAATGAATCTTTTAAAAATAAATAAATAAATAAACTACTCTTGATGGAGAGTACAAATGAAAAAAAAAAAAGAAACTGGGATTTTGTCACACCTGTCTTGCACACAGTAGGCTCCACATTCAAAATAGAATTTTTTTTTAATTTTTTTAAAGATTTATTTATTTATGCATACAAGAACTGGGGCACAGGACAGATGCGCAGGAAGGTGAGAGGATTCATCAGAGATAAAGCAGGGAACAGAACAGGCAGACTGACGAAATACACTGCTGAGGTGAGCAGCGGGCACGACATGAACAGTCTGCTGTACCATGTGGGACCCTCCCCAGCCCGCCAGGATCAAACAGGTGCTGCAGAGGCTGTGGACAGCTTCACAACGCTGCGCTCAACTGCCTGCACCACCAGGGGAGCCCTAGAATAAATTTTTGCTGAACTCTTGACAGCATGAAAATAAAAGCATTTATCACCTTTCTTCTCTAAATGGTAGCAGAACATGATTTTAGAGACCTAGCCTAATTTCTTTCTGAGAAAAAAAAAATTAAGAAGACCAAAGAGGCAATAATTGCTGCAGACTCTTGCTCTTATGTTATTCACACTGTATGCACTGAATATGGATAATACAATTTTAAGAAGCACACTGTAATTGTAAATCAATCATATAAAGACAAGAAATCCTGGAAAGTAAAAGCCAAATTCTAATAGCTATTTCAGCTAAGTAATTGTTAATATTTAGGAGATGTAATCTGAGAGTAATGCTAAGGACAATTTGGCTATATCATATATGTTCTCAGTCTATATAATGAGGGATCAGGAAGTCTTCAGAGAAGTGTATGACTTAGTATGCAACTGAGACATAAAAGACCTCCTTTAGGGAAGGAGTTATCCAAAGCACAGAGAAACATGAGCAGGTGCTTAGGGAAGAAAATATAAAGTGCTACTTTCTGGTAGTCACCCTGCTTAGGACACAAGTGGGCTTTGCTGCTCAGTCCCAGCAAACTGGATAAGATGGAAACATCCAAACTGCAGTACTCCAGTGTTTTGACAGGATGTGGGAGAAGGTTTCTAAAAGAATATCCCTGGTTTAGGTAGCCCTTGATTGGCCCTTCTTCAGCCCAGTATAGCTCAGGCAGAGAATGTCAAGAGTGTGTTAAAATTTAGGCAAAGCATAGACAGGAAAGGAGGAAGGAAAAAGCCAAATCACCCAGGCCAGAAGTGTGGCAGAGGGAAGAAGAAAGGTTGGGGGGAAGGGTGTCTGGGAAAGTTGCAGAGATTGGGCTTGAGCTGGTACTGGGAGATGCAGGTGCAGTGTCCCTAGAGATGGGGCAGTCTGGTTTCTAATTTTGGAAATGGTCATGCCAGGGTTTCTAATCAAGCAAGCAGGCTCACAACAAAGGTCTCTAAATAGCAGAGAGAACCATCTGGAAGCAGGTGGCTGCTTAGTGTTGTATAGGGGTATGAGTGCAGAAATAGCAACAGCAAGACCACAGGGCTTAGTTTCTAAAGTGGCAGAAGGAAGGGAGTATTGAGTAGAATTCTGTCCTGAGGTACCAGAGGAGTGGAAAATTAGCAAGTCAAGGAACACTGAGGTACAGAGATTCCAAGGCTTCTGAGTTCACCTAGTACCTGATTGGCTGAGGGCAATCCCAGGAACACTACAAGAGTTCACCCAATGGGCAATCTAGAAGTCCTAGATTGCCGGTGTGGAAGAAGGGCCCAATTCTACATATCACCCATTGTGGAGGAGAGGTGCCTTAGTCTAAGTGAAACAAGAGGCTATCAGAGATTATACTGGAGGCAGGATCCCTTAATGTACCTAGAAAAAAAAAATGGCCTTGGAGTTACCATTTCTTGAGTCAATATCAGAGGGGAGTGGAGTGAGAAGGTTAAGGAGACAGGGAACCACCCACTGGGGGCTGCAGCAGCAGATGTTTGTTTAAATAAACTCCTCTAGCTGGGATTTGGCCTGATAGGCAGCAGGGTATGTCTCGGCTCCTTCTCCGGCCGCTGGCGAGGGTCCCACAAAAAAAAAAAAAAAAAAAAAAGAGAAGACTGAGCAGAGGGCTCCTGTAGAGCCATTTGGGGCTGCTGCAGAGGCTGGTGACCTCTAGAGGGATGCTGTGGGGCTATGGGTAATCTTGTTTTTCTGCTATTACATTGTAAATAGATGTCTTACAGGTGGGGTGACCAAGATTTTTTCCAAGATGATAGCTTCTCTAGATTAATTCTCATTTATTAGGCATTACAGATTCAGAAGATAGGGACTACCAATGTTTTAAGAGTCTCAAAGTTTCAAATCTGTTTAAAATTAATATTTAACTGAATGGCTATAAAATATAACAGATGCCAACTAATGAGTTGCAACTCAACCTGTACTCTTCACATGGTGACAGAAGAAAAACAACAAAAATAATCACCCTTACAGTGGACTCTACAGATTATCCCAAGAACCAAGGTAATAAATACATGTGTATATATTTAATTTGACACAATAGATCATTCTGAAATATTTGACATAACATGGCTAGACACATGAAAATAAGAGTCCCAATGAAGGACTTAAACAAGGATCATTAAAATTATCCTGTTAGAATTCTGAATAGGCCGTTGTTCTCAGTTCTCTGAGAAAGACTTCTGAGTGATAAGTACATGAAAGTTACTGGTTTGGTGCCTCCCCAGTGGCACAGTGGGTTGAGTGCCACGCTGTGAAGCTGTCAGCAGCCTCTGCAGCCGGGGTTCGATTCCTGGCTGTTTTGTTTTTAGTTTTGGTTCTTGCTACAGGTATCACTAAACAAGAGTTACATGTATAATGTTAGGGTTCTGAAATACTTTGTACCCTTAAAAAGAAAGTGGTTGAGCGCTGCGAAGCTGCCCACAGCCTCTGCAGTGCCGGTTCAATCCCCGGCCACCAGCGAGGGTCCCACATGGCGTGCAGACCTCTCCTGCCGCCGGCTGCTCCCCTCAGCAGTGTACTTTGGTCCTTCTGCCTGTTCTGCTCCCCGCTCTGGCTCTGGTGAATTCTCTCACCCTACTGTGCTTCTGACTGTACCCAGTGCTTGTATAAATAAATAAATCTTTTAAAAAAAAAAAGAATCATGTAATATAAACATATGACAAAACTAAGAGTTCACAAGTAAGATGAAAAGTAATAGGGAAAAAAATGGAGACTTGGGAAGAGAAAATGAAATTGAGTAAGATAACTGACAAGTTATTAAACAAGGGTTTTACTGGTTCCCCCCCCCCAGCCGAGATTAAAAGGTCCAATAGTTACAACAGAGAGAAACAAATAGTAAACAAATTGTTTTCTTTCCACATAAGTTCCAAAAGTTAATTGTCTTTTTAAATTTCCTGATCACAAGTATCAGTTTATGATACAAGTACCAGCTTTTCTTCAAGCAATTTATATTCCTTGAAGAAAAATAGGATAGAATAGGATAGGAAGGGATAATAGAACAATGTGAGGAAAGCCAGTTCACTACGAGAGAAGGGTTTAGTAAGCAGATCACATTTAAAAAAGGGTAGGGGCATGAGCAGTATGTCCAGGGAAGCCCAGAGTATACCTTAGGATCCATGAAGTATAACCTATTTGCTGCTAGCAAGCATATTTCCACTTTTTTAAAGCTCTGAACAGTGTAATAGATTTGTGGATTGTTTGACAACTAGAATTCGAAATTTTCCAAACAGGTGGTGGTATGAAAGGCACTGGCGAGTTCTTTGTGAGTACTGAACCATGAAATGAGAGCATCTGTGTTGTTCAATTTAGAAAAAAGGAATAAGATGCTATAGTCACTAAAGTAACAATATGACTGGTTGCCTCTTCAGACAGTGTCTCTTAGGGCGGAGTCAGAAAATCCTGTCTGCCCCTAATCTGTGTTCACTAAACTCAGAGAATGTCAGTTCTGGTCTTCTCTCATGGCCAACATGTTAATTACACTAAGTTGAACTTCCAAGTCAACTTCATAAATTGAGCACTCCGGTTTTCTACAGAAAACTGACAGATGAGCAGCAAAATAAATATCAGAAGTTTCTTAGTCTCTAAGGAATTGAATGATCCTAAGGGCCTACTGCCTTAAGTAAGGCAAGCCTGATACAGAACTGATGGAAGTCCACTATGCTCTGTGCCAGTAATAGAGCTGTTACATTTTCTCTATTTTTAAGTACCTTATGACAGCAAAAAACTAAAGCCTATTATGAGCTGCAATATGGTAGTCCTGTTTTCAAATAGGTATCCACTAAGGTGGAAATCAAATCAAGAAAGGTAGTTCTTTAGGAGACTGGTAATAAAGAAGTAAGTTTTAATTCAAGCTTTTTGAAGATGAAGTCATCTTTTATGTGATCAAGCAATTAGTTTTGTTAGCATTACTTACATCCAACCCATACTCACTTTTACCTTTGCTATTATTTTATCAGTAAAGTCACCAAATACTAAAAGGAAAAAAGGTATATCCTAATATTTCAAGGAAATGTGCTTAGAGAAAAGACTGTGAGACTACCCTAAGGAGCAATATGACATCCTTGTGATAGAAGTTTACTGAATTACTCCCTGACTAAACGCAGTGAAGCATCAAGTTTCACCTAGTACCACTTATACCTTAACTCCCAACTAAAAATCTGCTTGAAGAATTTATAATTTGTTATTGGGCATATAACAATTATTAGTTGCTAACATCGACAGATTCATGGAAGAATGGGCATGATATATTATTACGGAGTTGAAAACAACTAAAAAGACTGGTCAAAAATTATATGTAATTTTCACTGTCTCCATCAAATATCATAAAGTTAACACAGACCCACCACGAGTATAGCAAATAGTTTTAACTATTCTTTGCTCATGTTTGGAGATGGTGAAATTTTGCACCAATATATTTCCTCTCCCCACCAGTTCCCAGCGTATCAATGCTTATTTCTACTTAAGTTTTTTAACTCTTGACCAAAGGCAACTTTGTACTCTCTGGTTATACTGATGTATCCTTTTTTTTTTTTTTTCTTTTCTGATTTTTATCCCCAGCAAGTGGTGGTATTAATTTGAAGTGATGGGATCTCCCATCCCAATCTTCAAATCCTAGTAATCCTTGAGTAAAATATTTATGATTTCTGCCCCTCAGTTATATTGCTTGAAAGACAGGAATGGTTTCTATCGTGGTTTGATGGCTAAAAAAGTCATAGAAGTGTGTAATTACAGTGCAAAATACATTATGCATGTTTTTTCCCTCACGGCCATCCCCACTTTTCCTGGGAAGCCTGCTACACTTAATGCAAAATTAAAGTGAAAATTGGGGGTGTTTAAATGACACTCGTGCCTGCCCTGCCAAAGCCTGAATTGTTGGCTCCTAAAACCTCTTTAAATGCGAATATTCTTGGCAGCTAGATCAAGTACCTTTGCTCTATGAGGGGGTTGAATAAAATTGTTCCGGTCACTTCTTTCGCTAACGCCCTGGGGCGGGTCCCTCATCTTTTCAGACATTTGCTTATACCTTTTTTTCAACCAACGTCCGGCCCGGGGGACGCCACCTGCGCTCCTGGAGCCTCCTCAGCCGCCCTGCCTCTCTTCAGGGCACCTTTTCCCTTCGAGGCCTGAGCCCTCCAAGTGAGGTGTGTCTCTTCCACCAGAAAACCGCTCCTCTCCGGCACCTCCGCCGCCTGCCCGGCCCGCCCCACGGCTCTGGCGGCTGCACAGCCGCTTCCGTGCGGGCAGTTCCCGGAGTTCGGGGCTCGCCACAGGGACTCAGTAAAACTTCCCCGACCGGTGCGGCCCAAGAACACCGAGGCGGAGACGGAGCCGCCTTTCGCACCCCAGGCGGAGCGGACCAGTCCTCGGGCGCTAGCTCGGGCTTTTCAGGCAAAGAAAGTTGCGCGGGGTCGCCCCGCGCTCGCGGCGCGTCGGGCCGGCGCGCGCCCCAGCCCGTGCCAGGCGGCGCCGGCGGCGCCCGGCAAAACCCGGCAGCGGATCGCGCGCGGCCCGGAAGTGCCGCGCCGAGGGGGGGCGGGCGCAGCCTCCGCAGCCGGTGGCGCCGCGCGCACGCGCCCTCGCGGCTGGCCGGGGCTGGAGTCGCAACTCGGAAGCCGGAGCCCGGACGGGCCCGGGGCGGGGGGGTGGGTGGGGGGCGCGGCGCGGGGGCGGGAGCGGCGGAGGCGGCCGCCCCTGGCGGCGGGTTTGTTTATCCCGAGGAAGAAGTTTAGGAGCGGGAGATAGGGAGGGAGGGCGGGCCGGGGAGGAGGGATGCGGTTCGGCGGAGGCGGCCGCCGCAGGGACTCGCCGCCATCACCTCCGCCGCCGCGGCCGCTGCCGCCTCGGGCTCCCGGGGCCGCCGCCGCTTCAGCCGGAGAGAAGCCGCCGCCCCGACCGCCCGCCGGCGCCCCGCGAGGCCGGGTAGGTGCCCCTCCCCCCGGCCCCCGCCGAGAGAGCGCCCCGGCCCCAGGGACGCCCCTGCGCCGGAGCCTGGCGGCCCCCCCTCAGTCTGTCCCAGCCCCCCGGATCCGAGCCCCTCCGCTCGCGGGGGCCTTCCCCAATCTCGGGGCTGTCTTCCGCCCCCGCCCCTCAGCCGCACCCCCGCCCCCGGACCGCCTTCCCGGTGGGAGCCCTTCCCTGGGGATTCCCCATCCCCCGCCGCCACACCTCACTGATCGCCCAGCCTCCGCCTCCCGGGGTACCCCCCCCCCAGGCTTTCCTGCGTTTGCCTCGCCCCCTTTTTCTCTTCCAGGATCCCTGTGGCTTGTTACCTGTGTACCCCTCAGGCCCCGTGTACCTGCTCTTTGCCACCCCGCCCTCGGCACTGTCCCGAGTGGAAAACTGACCCCCCCCTCCACCTGCGTCCACACTGCCACCTCCTCCCCTTAAACATACTCATCGAAATTACCTTCCGTGTTAACCCATTTTAGCTTGACTCCTCCGCTGCCGGCCACACCACTCTCTGTCTCCATCCCGGTGGTCCTAACGCGCCCTCCGGGCCTCGCGCCTCCACGCGCGCGGGGCCGTCTCAGAAATTCCCATGTTCGCAGGCCCCGTCCTGCCAACTGCGGGTCAGGCTCCAAATCTAGACTTTCTTCTGTGTCCGCTAATACATTCTTTCCCCGCACTCTTCCCCACTTGAGTCTCTGTGTTTGCCTCCTGACTGGAAGCGAAGGGGATGGTAGGATTTTCTCTCAAAGCAGTGGCATTCCAGTGGAAGTGAGAGTCACCTTCTGCTTGTCCCAACTCTGGGCTTCGCTGTGGATTGTGTCGTTCAGCCCTCCTTTCGAGGTTTCTCCTGTTCTGTGTATAGGTGAATAATCCTGGGCCTGCATTGTCCCATCCAAGTTTTCCTTACAAGTAAATCCACTGTTTCTTAGACAGGAAACTTCAATATTAAAAAATATGCATGGAAAGTTACATCTCTCTTACCGGGGTGGGAAAAGTAGAATGGTTCAAATGATCGTCCTATTATTTGTGAGAGAAATGGTGCCTAGTGGTTAGCAGCTCAGACGCTGGAGCTGGACTGCCAGGCTCTGACCCCCTGCCTTGCTATCTGCCAGCTCTGGCCTTTGGGTACTTATTTCACCTCTCTGTGTCTCAGTATTTTTACAACTGTAACATGGGAATAGCGATCTAAGATGGTACTAATTGCATAATTTGGTGCAGGTTATAGACAGCAGTACCTGCCACATGGTAAGTGTTCAGTAAATGTTCTTTATCTTCTTGGTTTGGCTGTTGGTAGGTGAATTCTGAGAGGAAGGTGGGAATGGAAAACCACCTCTTTGATCCTTCTATTTAACACTTTTTTTTTGATGTAGGTATGATTCATGTTTTGTTACTGTAGAAGTCAATTCCTTCTTATGTGAAAAGCATGGGGTTTTCGTTGCTTATTTTCCCTCTGCTACAAGCAGTTCAATCCCAGTTTCAGATATCTGTGTGGAAGAATAAATGAAATATGTAGTAGTTTTATCACAGAGGAAAGTAAGGATTTTTACAGATAAAAATTTCAGTATTGCGAGTTAAATGTTCAAAACTGTTGGAATTCTTTACCACGCCTCTGTCATTTTATCTTGAATTGCTAAATTAAAATAAAGCTTTGGCTTCTTTCAGAAGACTAATGCCTTTTCTCTCCTACCATGTTGTTTAGTCACATGACTGTGCCTTGATATTTCCCACATTTTGCTAAATGTTTATAAAGTTCTGACAATTTTTGCTGTATTTGTTCCTGCAGTATTATTTTCTCAGAAAACTCACTTAAAAAACATCCAGATTGGTACTGTTCACTATAAGGGTATTATAAATAATACAAATTTTAAATCATGGTTTGCTGCCCTAATAACATATGAAAATATGTGCAGATGCAACTACCAAAAATGTCTCCTGTGTATAACTTAAAATCATTTTTTGTATCTCCAATGGAAGGTACTCCAAACTTTGGGTGATGCTGCTTTTGCTTATGCTGTTCCCAGGCCTAGAATAACCTTTGCTCTTTTCCTTGCATATGCAAATTATACCTATTTTCTACCTTTGAATATATCCATGTAGCTCATGCCAACATTGATTTCTTTATTTCTTGGCTTCTTTACTATTTATTTCTATTCGGCATTTTTGTCTTTGGATATTACAGGTAGCTGTGGTTCAAGAAAAATGATTCCCCTTGAATCAGACTTTCAAAGTCTATGGGAAGTATAAAGGGTGGGGAAAAAATTGACATTTGGCATTTATTCTCTGGTAAGCTCTATTTTCTTTGGTTTTATAAATATTCATCCTTCCTAAAGATGCTAATGAGCATCTATATTGTGCCAACTATTGGGGATACATGAGAGCAGCCCTGGGCTCTAGTGAATGTGAAATCCTAATGTTCTAAGACTTCCAAGGTATATAATACAACTAGAATGATACTAGCCATGCACCGTCCTTGAGAAAAGAACTGAGGAAATTGTCACTTAAATCAGTTTCTATAGGATTTACAGATGAACCGTGGTTGAGAAAAACCCCATCAGAGAAAAATACAGTGGTGGTTTTTATTTGTAATTTATATTCTAATGGCACTGACAGATAATATGCATGTAAACAGATAAAATTATTCTATATGAAATTACTGATGGTATTAAAGATAATGATAATCGCTAACACGTATAAAACATTGTGCCAGACAATTTCAAATGATTTATATATATAGTAACTTGTTGAAACAGTCCTTTGAAGAACGCTTTATTATCTCTATTTCACAAATGAGAAATCTGAGAAACATTACTTCTACAAAATCACCCAGCTAAGCAAGCAGTGGAGCCTGACAATGATTGTAGTGTCTGTTGCCCTTAGATTCCTCCCAGACTTTCCACTTCCCTGTTGATTACTGTAGACAAGGTTCTTCACCTTTCTGAAAAATCTTTTTTAAAGTATCTCAATAATGAGGTTTCCCTGTGTTTTTACATTGTTCAGGGAAGTAAAGGAAATTTAACTTGTGTAAAGCACCCTGTACAGTCTTATCCCAAATATTGAACACATTTGTATTTATTTGGTGACCTTTCTCACCATTTTGTTCCCTTAGGATTTACTCACTTAGCAAAGATTTATTCAACATAGGTTCTATGCTAGACACTTCATGAGGGGTCTTATGACACATGTTAATGGAAAGAGGGTACCTGTATTCATGGAGACAAAAGTCTGTTGGGGTATAAAGAAACTAAACAAGTAATTACTAAAAGAGTACATAAACTGTGATAATTGCACAAATGAAATTATTATAAATAATAAAAGCCAACTGATCTATAAGGGCTGCTTTTCTAAAGAAAACTGTTAGGCTGAAACCTGAAGGATGAACTATAGCTGCCCATGTGATACTGGTAAATTCATCTTTCTAAAATTGAACCGTCCTGTATGAACTAGACCTTCTCATGTGAGTCTTGGTGATGAAAATGAGACTAGAGCAGATCACAATGGTCTATTATTGCTAATCGTTTTGTACTTATTTCTAAGTACAATTGGAAGTCACTGAGAATGTTAAACAGCTGAATAAGTAACATAATTTTTTGTCTAAAAAATATTACTTGGCTGCTCTGTGGAGGACAGATTGGAGAGGCTTGTGTAAATGCAGGAAGACCAGTTAGGCCAGTGCTGTTCAAATTTATCTGTCATGGAGGTTCTGTTTTGTTTATGTTTTAATTCTAATCCGTACTGGTACTTAGTAACACCCAATAAAATGGATGCTATGGCAGTGTCAAAGTATTCTAAAAATTCCTAACTGCTTCCTCTCAGTTGCTGTATTTACCTGTGTCAGACCAATAACAATAGTTTGTGGACAAGTGTTGTCCACTGACTAGACTTTGAGTAGAATAGAATTCAGCTATTACGGTAACTAGCAAGAGATGATGCAGTTGTAATCCAGAATAACAGTGATAAAGTCGCCAGATTTAATAAATATTTATGAAGTAAAATTGATAGACTTTGGTGATGTGGGGGTCTAGGGAGAGAAGGCTGATTTCCAAGGTTAGTGGTTCTTATGCCTAAGAAAGGAAATGTTGGAAGGGAAATAGTTTTTGATTTGATTGATAATTTCTTGTAAGGGGAGAGTAAGTCATGTGGGGATAGTCAGTCTGTGATGGAAGTCTTAATGTATGTGGTAGTGGTGGTCGTGGGGGTTGGGGGTATGAGATTGCCTAAGAGAGTATATAGAGAGGAGAGAAGGGAACATAGTCACCTATGAATCATCACTAGTTAAACATTCAGAAAAAGAAATGTAGCACAGGAGACTGCATGGGAGTAACCAAAGGTTGGAGGAAATTTTTTGTTGGTGTCACTGAAGCCGAGGCAATAGTGTGTTTTAAAAAAGGGTGGAGTGGTTAATCAACTGTGTGAAAGAAGCTGAGAA